GTGACAGGACAGGACAAATGGATTTTCAACTGTATCCTTGCAAAGATCGCATTCTGCATAGACACTTTGCAAGTTTCGGCAATAACAATGCACACCTAAAGTATGAAATCACCTATAGGTTACATATTAAAGACCCTTTACTGTAGTTTTAATGACATTTAGAATGTTTTTGTGCACATAAAGGCAGTCCAATTTAAGTTATTTATGACTAAATTACAATCCATATAAACCTGAGTTGATGAGTACACATGTGTGATGGGGTTATCAGCAACTCTTATTTTAAACAAATAAAAAGGCATTTTTTGTTGTTCTGAGCTTTTTTAGAGAAAAAGAGCAAACACGGACATATGTCTTACCCTCTGAGTTTCATTTTTTCTATGAAACACAAAAGAAGGTTTTTTGAAAAAAGCTGGAAACTGATAACCACTGGCATTCTCAATGAGGAAAAAACATACTATGGAAGTAAATGGCTATTTGGAAATTTGTTGAAAACACTGATGTCCATAGAAGGAAAAAACACATACTATGGAAGTCAATGGCTACCAGTATATCTTCTTTTGTGTTTAGCAGAAGAAATCAATCTCACGAAGTTTTAGAAGAAGTGGAGAATGAGTAAATTAAATCAGAATTTTCATTTCCGGGGTGAACTGTCCCTTTAAGCAACTACCTAGACCTTCTCAGCAACCTCAAAGCTGCATCTTTGGCACATGATTCAGTTGGCTTTTCTGTAGCATGCAGAGTTCAGATTTATTTTGAGCGTTACATCAGCCGTCATCACATACTGAAACTCAGATAATAAGGTTTTGTTGTGAACAGCAGGATAGAGAAATGTAATCCTGAAGGGGTTACATCCAGCCCTATTTTAGCGCTTGTTCTGGTGAAAATGGATGCCAGGTTATAGGTGGAAACTATGGGATCATTTCATGCATTTCCCTGGGGGTTCAACATTGTTATGTCTCATTTTACACACTCACCTTTATCCGGAGCCTCCATCATACACACGGCACTCAACACACACACATACACACGTGCTGTTTAAACACACGCACACATTCCAAGGAAGCTTCCTTTAATGTGTTTTCAAAGGAACTTGAAACATGAGTTTTGATGTAAAGTGTGATGAAAAAAAAAAAAACGACTGACCACATATAGGGCGCTGTGATTTCAGCAATGCGGAAAATGCGGATAGGATTGCAGAAAAATGGATTTTACTATATAATGTGGAATGACATGGAATTATGGATGAATATTTCAAAAGTAGGGTTGGACACCTAATCAAATCATGATACAGTATAGGCTAGTGTGAATATCAAACCACAAGAAAGAATTATTTAGATGAGAAGTGAATGAATGGCATGTTTGCATTTGCTACGCACCTACTCAAGCATGCATCCCACTTGTGTTCAGAATTTTTGAACACATGAACTTCATCTCCAGAGCCATTTTGAATCACTGAATAAGCACTATATTGTGTAATTTAACAACATTATATAGTATACACACAGACATTCAAGAGCCTTTACAATAACCTGTCAAATTAAAAGTTTGGTTTATTGTATAGTGCATTTCTCAAAGTAAAAGAAAAGCATTATATTAGTATTTTTGTTGTTGTTGTAAAGAAAATTAGGATTAAACTTAACAAAACAACATATATTTACTGAGTTTACCTTTATAACATAAATTTAACATAGTTGTGTAATTTATAGTTGTAAATTTTAAAGCTGTGTAAGTGTAAGCTATATATTGTATTTTCAATATATATATATAATATTTTTTTTCTACAACTAAATCAATCACTAAAATTGTTTTATTAATCCATCTAGAGCAGAGATGCTCTAGAACACTGGGTACAGTGGGTAGCACGATCGCCTCTCAGCATGTTCTTCCCATGTTCCTGTGGATTATCTCCGGGTGCTCCAGTTTTCCCCACAGCCCAAAGACATGTGGTATAGGTAAATTGAATAAGCTAAATTGCCCATAGTGTATGTGTGTGCAAGAGTGTATGAGTGTTTTCCAGTGTTGGGTTGCGGCTAAAAGAGCATCCGCTGCGTAAAACATAGGCTGAATTGTTGGTGGTTCATTCTGCTGTGGCAACCCTTGATTATTAAAGGGACTAAGCCGAAAGGAAAATGAATATTAATAATAATAATAATAACGAAACATATATAGAAATTATTTAATAAGCAAGTTAAAAAGAATAGTAGCACTTTACTTGAAGGCGTTATTGATATGACTGTAATGAAACCTTCATAATCATGACATGACGCATCATTTCTAGGATTGCTTGTGATAATTGTCGTTAAGTGTCATTCACTCAGTTATGTCATTTTAAATGCAATGATGTTGTTCTGTGTTATGCCAACTTGACATTCCCAATACAATATAACCTGTCATAAATCTGTCATAAACATAATTGTCATGAGGCCACTATAATTGTGTCATGAACATTTTTCTGACCACTTTCTTTTCAGTGGAACAAACTGAATTTGTCATTAAACGGTTTGATTAAAAGTTCCATTACTCTGTTAAATCATTTCATAAGCATTGATATTTAAAAATATTAAGACAAATTTAGCTTGTACTACTACAGTTGAGGTCAAGAAAAATATTTATGAAGCCGTTATAAAATTTGTGACAATTATAATGGCTTTGTTACAATCATGTTTATGACAAATTTATGACAGGTTTTGTTGTCTTGGTAATGTCATGTTGTCATAAAGACAAAATCAGCTTGTAGTGTATTTGTTTAGGTCAAGTTGTTATAACAAACAATGTCATTTTAGCATTAAAACTCATAACTGAGCAAATGACACTTAATAACAGTTGTCATTTCAAGATTATAAAGGTTTCATGATAGTCTTATGAACGTTCCCTTCAAGTGTTAACAAAACATTCATTCATTCATTCATTCATATTCCTTCTGCTTGGTCTCTATTTCAGAGGTTGCCACAGTGGAATACACCAGCAACTATTCCAGCATGTGTTTTATGCAGCAGATACCCTTCCAGTCACAACATAGTATTGGGAAACACCCATACGCACTCATTCACACACACTTATACACTACAGGCAATTTAGTTTCTTTAATTCACCTATAGCGCAGGTCTTTGGACTGTGGGGGACACTGGAGCACCAGGAGGAAACCGACACGAACAAGTGGAGAACATGCAAACTCCACACAGAAATACCAACTGACCCAGCTGGAACTTGAGCCAGCAACCTTCTTGCTGTGAGGCAACAGTGCTAACCACTGAGCCACCATTACCAAAACAAATAATACAAAAATATATTAAATAAAACACCCTTATAGGGCCTAGATATCCCAGAGAGGGTGATGTATACTTGTACATGTGCATCTGTAACAATGCATATTTCAGACCACTGTATGCCTACAAGCGCTCTCTCTCTCTCTCTCTCTCTCTCTCTCTCTCTCTCTCTCTCTCTCTCTCTCCCTCTCTCTCTCTCTCTCTCTCTCTCTCTGTGTGTGTGAAATGAGAGCCTGTTAATAATAGTTTGAAGTGTCTCAGTTTCAACATCAGAAATGCGGCTCAGTAACCTGATAAAGAATGACAGCAAAAAAAAAGTGATGAAAAAAAAAACAGAATGAGATATAACCTGCAAGATTTAGAGCAAAAGCCTTTTGTCCTGCACTAATTAGTGAGAAGACATTCTAATAATACCCACATCCAGGCTCAGCATTTAATTACCATGAAAATGTAATCTGGCGCAGTAGAATTCTAGGCATGTCATTTTTGGAGTGAAAAGGGGAGGGGGACGTTCCATACATCCCAGAATACTGAAATAGGAAATGGCGGGAAATATTTTGCTTCTTCAGACTAGATAAAGTTTAAGAAACACATGGATTTTCCCATATATGACAAACTGAATGCTGAGTAACCCTGTGGTGTAAAAAAAAAAAAAAAAAAACAGACAAAGGCTATAGTGCAATTTTGAGTATACTGCAGAGCCCATTTTAGTTTCAAAACTCTAAGATGTTGTTTTCAGTGTAGAAAATGCAGATATTTAAAAACAAAAACTACAAACATCAACTTCCTCATTGGCTCTTGTAAATCATTACATATCCTTTCCTGCATTTTAAATATTTTAGTTAAATCGCATGAACCTTATAATTTTAACCATTTAAAAAAATAAACTTATTTAAATCAGCTTGTATACTGAAAAAATCTTGAATTAAATCATTATTAATTTAGTTGAATAAATTGTAATTAACATAAAAATATATGCCAACATGACTTATTGATTATATAACTTTTACGGTGTGATTCATCAAACCCCAATCATATGACCAATACACTGAAATTTGACAACACACAACCAAGCCAGGCTTATTCTGATCACGTACCCCTATATACATTTTTTAAAAGAGACAAAATACATCCCATAATACGCTATGCGTTTTGCAGTTTTTGTTTTCGTAAATCCACCAGAGGCCGCTGTGTAGGCTGTTTCAGATTTTAAAATTTCCAGACATCCCAGTCATTTACGGGGGAGACAGCGATGTGCAACGTACTTGAAGAGCGGGTGAGGGACTGGGGGCATGCGTGCGAGACTTATCTGAAGAGCAGGGGGTGGAAGATGGGATTTGCGCGCAACGTTCTGGGATGGATGTGATGGAAAGGGGGGCGCAACGAATTTAAGGACCGGGAGGGAGAAGAGCGATTTCTGGGAGATTATCAATCATTTGCGGGCATCCGGTGGTCTCTATGCATTTTCGGGTCTTGGGATGTCTGAATTTTTTTCTCACGAGTGCCATTCGCGCCTGCTGTTCTCATGTACATCCACCAGAGGCCGCTGTCGACTGACTGACTGACTGACCAACCACCCAATCCTCCCACTCACCTAAACCCAACTGCAGTGTTTTAAAAAGAAATACAGAAAAAGAAAAGCCCTGATTTGTACCACATTTTCAGATTTTACCACATTCTCACCCAGTTATTTACTTGTTTATATGATTTTTTTAGCTTAAGTTTTTGTCTTACCTTTTTTCCTGTAACTGATCTTCACCAAATTCGAACCCCATTGTCGCGGTCAACGCCACTTGGTCTCAAGTCCGCCGACAAACTGGTAACAGCGGAAAAGCTGCACATATGGAAGCGAGAAAAGGAATAGTATCATACAGCCCCGTAGCGTTTGTTAGAAAGACAAAGCCACACGTGCCTCTGGCTACATAATTTGCGATCTTCAGAAATGTACATAGGGCTATGTTTTTAGAATAAGTCTATGTTGCAGAAAATACATTCTGTACACTTTATTTATTTTAAAACACAATGACTGTACATAAATAAAAGCTCATTACAGTTTCAAATGGTGTCTTACTCTTACATAAATTACAAAAATTTGATTCAAATAAATATAATAGTCAGCAGCGTTAGCCTCGTGGGCAGTGCATCGACATATATTGATATTTCACTTTTATTATTTTCAGATGTTCCGAGTTTAAGTCCAGTTATGGAGACCTTTCCCAATCCCAACCCCCTTATCCTTTTAGCTATGCTTCCTGCCCAGTTACTGTCCTATCTTAATAAAAGCGAAAAAAGCCAAAAATAAATCTATAAAAAAAATTAGTATATTTTAATCTGTTTTTACAAACTAACAACAACAAGCCTCTTGCCTGCACACAATATGTCAAAACATTGCTATGTTGATAATGCAGCCTTCGGTCAAACAAATATTAAAAAGCTACACTGTGCAGTTTAAATAATCAGTTGTCAAAATCAAGTGATGGTGTTTTATGAACAAGTGTAATACAAAGCATTGTTTTTGTAAAAGTATGTGCACAGCCAATGTATCCGTGGCTGTTTGAACACAGTTGAACACTAATAATTTATAACAAATGACTGAACTTGATTTTAATTAGTATTTTAGTTAACAGTTGTATATGCTACATATTTCTAGAACTTTGTATCTTTATACGTTTTTAGTCTTACAGCGTAGTGTGGATGGAGATCTTTCCCGAAAATGCCAGTATGGACGATGATAGTTTTTATTTTAAATCACTGTGTCAAAATGAAACTAGTGTGAACATAGCCAAAGAGAAGGGGGGGATTGGTGAAACAGCGGTGGGGAGAGACAGAAATGGAGAGAGAGAAAGACAGGGAATGTGGGGGAGGAAAAGATGGAGGTAAGAAGAGAGGGAAAACGGAGGGGGGAAAACAGCGGTGGGAGACTGGATGGGTGTTTCCATGGTGATACTTTCGTCTTTTTCTACATGCAGAGAGACCATGGTGTTAACCATGTGAAGCTTTTGCCTGTCTCTCTCTCTTTTCCTCTCTCAATGTTTATTTTATTCATTTGCCTTCTTCCATTACTGAAGCAGAGGGTGAATTAATAAATGAGTAGAAAAGGGGATAAATAAATTAATAAAAAAAGACACAATACCCCTCCCTTTCCAAAATGCCAATTGTGACCTATATATCTGTCTGATTTGTAGGCGTTTCCTTCCTTACAGTGATGCTCGATGTACATACCTACAAACGCACACGCACACACGGATAGATAGACACAAAAGTGGTGCAGACGCACAAAATAAAATGTAATCCTGCTTTCCAATAGAGTCAGACCCCCATCCCCCCTTCCTCTTCCCAAACCCGAGCAGACGTGATGCACATCTTAACTAGCACGCGCGCATTCGCTGATATCCAGACACGCGCTTTTATGGGTGCTCATCATAACAGACTGGTCAAACTCAGCGGTTAACAGGTAAAGCGCGTCTGGAACTGACGCAAAAAATACGAGCAGTTGTGAAATAAAATGCCACAGCTGAATCCGGACATACAGGTCAAATGTATATGAGGGTCTAAGCATGATATTTTGCGGTGAAGCGTGACATGAATGAAGACAAGGAGACCAAATCCTAGGTGGCTGAAAAAGGGTGTCGGCTGGAGGAAGAGACGGGAAGGTTTTTGGGACAATGTCGACACCTGGTGGTCATTATGGGAAGTGTTCAACCATTAAGTTTTTTTTTTTTTTGCCTTTCAAAAACAACAATTTAGGCCAAACTCAGTCCAAACATAATCTTGCACAAACTGACTGAGACATGTCAGATATACAGTGAATCAAGTACAAAACCAAACAAAAATAAAAATTAAAAAACAATGTACAAAATAACTTAATAAAACAAAACAAAAAATAAACCATTAAGTTAATATACAAAAAGCGTTGTTTGATTTTAGGCTTGAAGAAATTATGTATGGTGTATAATATAATTAGCGTTGACTGGCAGATAAATTATGCTAATGCTTTTAAAACACAGCATGCTAGAAAAGAAATCAACTCAAATATCTTTACTAAAAAATTAAAATCATGGTGTGCATCGAGGCTTAAGTCTAAACAAAACACAGATTATTTGTATTTTTGTTGTCCATAGCGTAAAAGTAAAAATATATATTTAAAATAACTCAACAAGAAAAAAAACTATTTTATTTTTTCATTAAATTTTAATCACTGATAATTTCTTTATAGTGAGATTATAGTATTGCACAACCAAAATAAAATGAATGAAAAATGATAAGTGTGTAGATAATAGATAATGTGAGGCTATTCTGTTTTTTTTAAATGTGCTTTATCTATTTTTGTGTCACATTTAATTACTGGATTTCTAAAGACAACATACACCTTAAAAGTAATAAAATAGCACTATTATTAATAGCATTCTAAGATAAATTGTTAAATAGTTAGCACTATTAGATAATTGGCTTAAACTAGGTAAATCACTTTGAATGGTACAAGTCATTAAACGCTATATATAAATGGTGCTGTTAGCGGTTTTATTTATATGTCAATTTCATATATTTTGCTATTAGTTGCAATTTACTACAATGACAAAATGAATGGGAATTTAATATATTTTATATATATATATATATATATATATATATATATATATATATATATATATATATATATATATATATATATATATATATATATAAGTAGCCTACTCACCAATTAAAACTGGTAATTGAAGTGTTTGGCCTGCAGAGGGAGCAGCAACATTAGAGTTTGAGAATATTGACATCGACACACATGATTTTTTTCATTACAGCTGCTCTGCTTAGTTGGAATCTACACAAGTATTAAACTTCAAAAACACATGCATTAAATGAATTTAAAAGAGAGCAGATAACTAATTTTAAACATGCACTAGGCCAATTGCTTACTTTGGCGATTCTCAAATATAGGGGACTAAAGCCAACTAGCAAACTTCTGAGTCCTCCAGTCTTGAAATGGATTAAAAAGAACAAAACCACTACACATCAAGAAGTTTCTTATTTCAATATATAATTTAGGGAACTTGGATAATATGCAATATTTCCTAACCTGGAAAAATCCTATAGCTTTATGGTCATTATTAATAATCAAATGTGGACATTGAGTTATGGTTTACTGAGATCACTTGTAGAAAGAATGAAAGAACGAACAAACAAACAAATGAAAGATGGAAGGAAGGAAGCAAGGAAAAAAACAAACAAACGATTAGTGTCTTTATCTAACCATATTGCTTGAAGAAACAATAGAGTCCATATTTCCATAACCATTGTGCATGAAGTATATGGCTATTTTTCCACAATAAGACATAAAAACAAATGATGATTAGTAATAAATAAATTCCCCTAGATAATTATTTTAATAACAGTTTATTTCATTCAAATCTATTTTAAACTCAATGTGTCCTTTTGTACAGTCGTGGTCTATGGAAGCCCACCCGCTTGTTAAGTTGTGAGTTGTGACATATGGAATACTGTTTCCGAGTCCAAAGCACTACTCATTTCAATTGAGATAATATTAGTTTATGACCACTTTTTAGTCCTATCACACATTAAAGTAAATTTTATATAAAATCATTACTGTCTCTGGGCACCAATATTTTGACGATTTATGAAAAAAAAAAAACATACACTTTCTGGCCATTGCATATTAGACATGAATATATATATACATATATATACATAAATATTGCGATCGAGAATTTCGAAAGTATTACATCACTTTGTAAACGTTTATTATTACCATTTGTTGAGTCTCCCCATCCTGTTTGATAGATTGATTGGACCAGCAAACCACTTTGCATAACATCTAACTGAGCAAGCAGATTTGCACCAAAATATTGTAAAAATTCAATTGCACATTTTTCTCTTGTAATCTTTCAAGCTGACAGAATTGTTAGAAATGTAAACCTGTAATTGCAAAACAAAGAAAAAATAAAGAAATAAACTGCAAGCTTCTGACTTTAAAAACACTCTCTGTAACTCTTTAATGTGGAGCACAAATTATCCAGTAACAGTGATTTCTGCCTTAATACAATCCTAATTTACTGAATATTAATATTGCGTAGATAGTTGAAACAGTTATATTTAGGTATAAAATAGGATTAAAGAATGTATAATACACACATACAAAATAAGGAATTAATATTTGCTTTATATGTACTTATAAACAGCCCAAATTCAAGCATATAAAAAAATAGTTAAAAGGCACATTTGGAACCCATACTAAAGTGTTCTCACTTTTCGAACTTTATTTCTTGCAGCTGCGAGTTCATGCTGAATTTCCAGGGTTAATGCTGGAACTTAATTTTAATACCTTTTAAGACTTTTTAAAGAACTTCCGAAAATACTTTAAGACCTCATCGCCCCTTCAAGTTCTAATCAGTATTAAACCTCTAACTTAATAAACAGTTGTAGTTAAATAAATCAATAGAGCATAACCATGCAAAAGAACTCAGATAAGCTTGGAAAAAACAAAGCTTGCCTTAAAAGAATAAATTACATGACTGGTTACAGTGACAGGCTTCAGCCACTTTTTAAAGTCATCTTTCTTCAACCAGGAGTACGCAAACTTACATTTTCCCATTTTGCCGTCTGTTTCAATCTATGGTTTCGCTACATGTGGAGAGCGTCACATCACCTTTCTACAAGGTTGCAAATTACGTGACATCACCTGGATGAAGAAGCTTGGCTGGACGCACCTGACCCAAACCAATTGTGTGGATCGAGCACGTCTTTTTTATATTATGAGGAAAATAAATATATTTATACTTTGGACAATGCTTGAACAAAAAGCAAGACCTCGTAAAAACGTG